TAACAAAATAACAATATTTAGTTAACAATGAAAAAAATGCATTTACAACACATTAACAGTGATATACTCTGTCACTGTTATCTGTGATTGTGTTGTGTTCAGCTGTTAAGTGTCGTTGTTGCCGAAGCACTGTGTTTTCCCATATCATTGAAGGTGTCACAGGTGGGCACATGTCAAGCTGTTTGCTGACATTTGTCATGTTTATTGAAGAGATAAGGAGAGAGAGATACAGACAGTTGCAGCAGACAGACAGACAGACAGAGAATTTAAAGGCAGTTTTACAAATTAGACAAGTTCACTAGTTTTATTTAATTTAAAATCTTAATTAGTTTGATGTGAAAGCCTGAAGAAAAAAAAGCTTCACCACACACATTTTGCAGTAGAATGTCAAGTCGCTCTCACAATAAAGTGTTGAAAATAGAAACAAACATACAATATTTTATAATTACAGCATCCTGGCGAGTTTTGGCCAGTTCTGTGTAGGAAAAGTCACCTTTAGTCAAGGAGATATTTTCATGCAAGCATTTATTAGTTGATAAGTTTTAAGTTAGAATACTTTTATGGGATTCTTTTTTGGGATATATAATAACATTTGGGAAGAGGGAAAATAACCCACTAGCTGGAAGGAAGCAATCATCATACCTATGATAAAACCAGAAAAGGACCCGACCAATCCAACAAGCTACAGATCAATTGTACTTACATCACATGTTGGAAAAAATAATGGTAAGGATGCTCACTGAGAGAATGACATACCATATAGAGAGTAGAGGTTTGTTATCTCCTTATCAGAGTGGTTTTAGGAAAGGGAGGGGAACAATGGATCCAATCATCTGTTTAGAGACACAAATAAGGAAAGAGGGCTTGATGATTAAACTTGACAAAATGGGAATATCAGGAAGTTGGATAAAAACCTTTTTGTTGGATAGATATAACCGGGTTAAAATAGGAACAACAATATCAACCAGGTATAAGGTAGACAACGGAAAAGCTCAGGGCAGTGTTATCAGCCCAAAGCGTAAGTTCTGATATAGGAAGATCATTATTTGCTGATGATGGGGCCTTATGGAAAA